GAGTCTTACAATGGGGCTTAGTGGAGACATTACAGCAAATACCAAGTGTCTTCTCTTTTTAAGGGATCGTACAAAGGAATACAGAGTAAAGATGACCTAGTCCCTGCTCGTGAGGGACATGTAAGATCATTGAAGAAGATCAGAGCAGTACAAAGGAACTAAAGGCAGACTAAGATGCATCCAATGAGACAGCTTTGTCTAAGGTACCTGTGGAATCAAAGGAAGGTGGTATCATAATGAGTTCATACCGGTGGTAGTGTACCCTACTTGGACAACTTGAACAAGGCTTCAGTTTGCAGAGGGCAGAGTTGTGGGTATTTCAGGTGAAGGAGATGGTATGAGCAATGAGGCAGAGGTGGCAATGCATTGTGTGTTTGGACGTAGTAACAGTGCTAAGTTGCAGTAGGGGAAAAGAGAGCCTTTGGGAAAATGCTTAGAATTGTGCTTTTTCAGATTAAGTGGTTTGAGGCAGGACTACTGTGGAAGTTCATGGCAGTAGTCCAGGAGGAAAAAACATCAGGTGATAACAGGAGGAGTCAAAAAGTGGATGGGGTTGAAGCCTTGCAGAGAGACACTCTTCTGTGGTTTTTGGAAACAGAACACAAAGGGGAAAGAACTGGTGCCTGGGACCGTCCACCTTTACAGACAGAAAACCATACCACTTTTACCCTGATTTTTTCACCCTGATTGTTATTTTTTTTCTTTAGTATTTCACAGGCTCTGGAAAATAGTAAAAGAATATTGTTTGTGGGGCAAAAAGAAAAATACAAATAACATGATTTAGTCAATGAAAAAGATTTTCTGGGAGTAACCAATAGGTCCTGAAGTAGTGAGAAACTAAGAAAACTGTTGGCTATAGCACTGAAGTGCAAACCCAGGCATGGAATGGAAAGTGGCTGGTCTTTGCTAATAGAGGGTCAAATTCCTCCTCAGGATCAGCCACCTCTTTTTCCTTGGGAGTTGCCTAAAAAAATAAAAAAAATAAAAATAAAAAAACAAACAACAGAGAATGCTGTATATCCTTAACCAAGTCTCACTGAGTTTAGGACATAACCTACCTTTGGGCACTCAGGTAATCCCATTCTCAGCCCCTCTTGCTGGTCATCTTTGGCTATGGGAAGGATGGCACTGTAGGTCTGTTGGGAACTTCTCTGTAATTGCAGTTCTGAGCTCCTAATGCATAGTCTCTCCTTACTAGCTTTATTCTGCTAGGTGACAGCTATTGATACTCAGACAAGGCTATGAACTTGCCCAAGTCCACTGTGCCCCATGTTTTCTGAGAATTATTTCCTAATCTTTTGGTAACTACCAGAGGCATCACAATACAGGTAGAAGTGGATACGTATTTCAGCCAGCCAGGCAAGAGAACTTGAATGCTGGCTCCTTTATGTACCAGCTGTGTGACTTAGGCCAAGTCACCTAACCACTCAGGGACTCAGAAAAGCAGGGCGGTTGTCTTGAGATGATTAAAATGAAAGAATGTTTGTGTACCATCTGTCACTATCACAGTGTCTGCAACTACTGTAGGCTTATAGTTTTTTTCTTCCAAAGAATTTGGGATTTTGTTCCTAACCCTGCTATTTATTTACTTTGCACTTTTCTGAATCTGAGCTTTTAGACATGAAGCATCCCTAAGGTTTGCTATAAGAAATACTAGCTCATAAAATAAGCAACATGTGAAGAGCTTCTGGAGGGTGCAATTACTGAAGCTGCAGAGCTTTTACCAAGCTGCTGTGCTTGTTACTCATTAACACAGCAGCTCAGTAAACTTAGGTAGATACATTCCTGAAGGCTCCACAGGATATGTTTACTCTTCTAACAAACTAAGTAATCAAAGTAGGGTGTCCTCTTGGAAGGCATTATCACTGTCCACCACATACCAGCAGTGTTTATTTCTTCAGATGGTTGGCTTGTATTTCAGGATAAGCCTCATGCAGAGCTCATTTTGTCATTTATATAAAGATAGAGGAGAAAGAGAATGCTTTTTGAAGTTACGTGACTTTAGTTTTCTCATGGTTTATAAAAGGGGCAGAGCTTTGGGAAAAGGAAGCAAATATTTTGGCTAATGTGGTCAAACACTCTTTTCTGTTGACAAGTTAAGATAATCAGGTGTTCTGCATTTTGCTACTTTTCTTTGTTACTTTATAAAATACTTTTTTTTTTTTTTTTTAATGAGCCCAGCACAATAGGCTGAACTCAAGGAAAGCCCCATAGATACAAGGACATTGAAGACTCGTATTAGAGACAAAAGAATAATAAGAATCCTGCAACAGCCTTAGTCTGTTTATAGTGTTTCTTTTTTGGAGGACTCTAGCTTTTTAACACTTGGAAGAGCAATCACTGGGCTATCTGAGGCCCTGGGGAAAGATGACTACTGCCTCTTATGGCTCTTATGGTGCAATTTGATCTTTTAAAATGTGACCTTTTAAACACTTTGCATTACAGCTGTGAGCATTTTCAGTTGAATTTAATGAGTGAGACAGGTCCCTTTGAGATTGCTTGTACCAAGCTTGCACTAAGGTAGACTTTGGGATGCTATGGCGTCGGAATGGTGAGCATTTTCAAGGAGGAGCTTCTGAGAAAGCAGTTTCTAGCTAATGAATTGGCATGTTGGTGGGTGGTAACAGAAGTTTGAGATGCACACCCTGCTCTTGAAGGCATTTGTACTTGGCCCACAAGACTAATATACAAGAAGCAACCAGTAGACGGTAGCTTGTGACCAAGTTTATGAGCTCTGAGTGTTCATGCATAGGGCACATTTATAAGAACTGAAGCTTTTAAGAGAAGCAGCATTGCAGTTGAGTGTTTAAGGGGGTACAAATGAGGTTGCTAGGTGAAACATTTAAAAGATGTAGTGCTTTGGGAGGCCGAGGCAGGCGGATCATTTGAGGTCAGGATTTCGAAACCAGCCTGGCCAACATGGTGAAACCCCGTCTCTACTAAAAATACAAAAATTAGCTGGGCGTGGTGGTGGGCGTCTGTAATCCCAGCTACTCTGGAGGCTGAGGTAGGAGAATCGCTTGAAGCCAGGAGGTGGAGATTGCAGTGAGCCAAGATTGCACCACTGCACTCCAGCCTGGGCGACAGAGTGAGACTCCATCTCAAAAAAATAAATAAATAAAATAAATAAATAAGTAAAAAATGTAGTGGTAAAGCTGGCTAGTCTAGAACCAAGAGGATTTGCTAAAGAGAAATATTTTAAAATGGAAGCAACTGAAGAGGCCTTAAAACCATCTTCTTCAGTCCCTTGTTTTACTTCTGGTGGGCCCTGAGAGGTGAAGGGCTACAAGGCTGACGGCACAAAGCAAGCTGTTGTGAGCCTGGGTTATGGAGAAATGTTGAAAGGCAATGCAGTGTAGAATGTAGGTGCTTGGATGCCTTGTGAGAAACAAAGTGCATGGTGGAAGGACTTTTTAGGAAGAATTTAGTTTAGGAGCATGAACTGTGCTAAACTTGGTGGTATTGCCTGAGAATCCAGCATTGTTATTCTTGCCATTGAAGAAATAATTCTTCATACTTACCCCTTTTCTGGGTCTTTTGGCTGTTTGCTTTCCTGTCCCCTTGCTGCCCCCTGTCTTCAGTGCAATCGCCTGTGTGTTAATGTTACGTAAGGATTACACTTCCCAGGCCAATTTGCATTTTATTAATAAGTGGAACACCACTTCAAGAGAAAACAATGCATCTAAAAGTAGAGCTTCAGGCCACAGTGACTTCAGATTATAAGGCCGGTAAAGTATCTTTCTTGTATCCCTAAAATCAGGATATATAAGTGGAATAGATTAGAAGAGGAGAGGGGGGAACCTAAAGATGTTGTGTGTCTGGCACATACTAGGTACTCATTTTTAAATGAATGAATAAATTGATGAATAAGGCTTAGGGATGCAGAGGTTTTAGGGAGGGAATAGGAAGAATAGTGGAAATGCATACCTTTTAAAGGAGGGATTATAAACATTAAGTTTTATAAATTTTTAAACAAAAAATTTAATTATAAATTTTAACAGAGGAATTTTAAAGGAGGACTTGGTGACTATGTGATCCTGAGACATGTGTGGAAAAGAGCATTAAAAAATATATATACATAGTTACAGAATCTAGCTGTTTAGGAGAGTATCCCTGACAGAACCAGGAACCAGGAGTGTCCTGTGTTTGATCATATGAACACATAATCATCATTTTTGAGTACACATTTGAAAACTTTCCTTCACTTCACCTGTCTACAAGTTAACTTACGTGAATCACTGCCTTGCATCCTGATTCTTCTCCCTAATATCCTCTGTTCAACTTTTTCTTCTATTTCTCTATGCACAGGGAAATGGGAGGAAAAGTGGGGCTCAGAATGAATTGGGTGCCCAGATTTCTTACAAAAGGATCCAAAGAATTCTTATAATTTCCTTATTCTACTTTTATCCCCACTTGAATTTGTCATGTCAATATTTCTTTAGGAAAACCTGTTTACTTCAGAAAAAAATATATAGGCCATTGTTTGGAAAGTTATGCTTTCAATGACTCACTTTTTGCCTCTCTTTTGCACTGGATATGCTGCCCTTGGTTATGCAGAGATAACAGGCTGACTTGCCTCCCAAAAGCATTCTTCCTTGACAGACTGGTTTGCTCTAATCTGTATAAACACTCTTGCCTGCTGACCAGTAGTCTTGTGTTTATGAGGCCCTTAGAAAACACTGCAAGCTGCAGAGTGACCATGAATAGCAAACTTAATTTGGTTTAATGTGTTTTGGCTTGCTTGACCTCACCAGAATAAATTGTGCCTGCTTAAATTATTGTATTGGGACTTAAAAAAAAAATTCTAGAGACATTTATCTCATTGGAAGACTCGCAGGATCATTTTAGCAAGGGTTTAAGTCCACGTTTAATGTCAGATAGACTTGAGAAATGTTTAACGTAGAGCTTTAATCACAGATTAGGTTTTTGTAAATTCGGAATTTTAAGTCTGAATCACTATCTTTTTTTCTTGCTACTTTTTTTTTTTTTTTTCTCTCTAGACAATTGGCGGGCAACGACCTTTCTTTTATCCACCCAAAGGCCTTGTCTGGGTTGAAAGAACTCAAAGTTCTGTAAGTAATGCAATTTTAGAGTTTCACAGCTGGCTGTGTATTTTCTTTCTGCATAGTCAACATGCTTGGAACTAGGTTAAGCACAGTTTCTTTTAGTTCAGGATTAAAAGATTGAAGGAGTGGCCAGTGGGGAGTGTGGGAGGCTAGAGGCTGATTTGGGCAACCCTGCATCTAGATAACAAAAGTTAAAACTCTAACTAATACGTATTCTGACCTCCAGCATATTACAGTTGAATGTTAGGCTTTTTGGGTGCCTAATGCATTGAAGCAAACCCATACTTAAGTTTTACTGGTAGGGTTTTGTTTCTACTTATAGCTGTAAGAACTTTGAATTACCTGACCGTAAAAGGGAAAAAGGCTTACAAGCGCTCCAAATGTTAAAATAATTTTAGAGCTCAAGGGAATTCAGATGCCTACAATTTATATAGCCAGCGAACAGTGAGGAAGTAAATTCCTGGCAATGGTCAGGAGCCTGGAGTGTGGCAGATTAGGAAACAGGGGAACTGACTGCCCCCACTTCTGCCACTACCATGCTGGATGACCTTCAGCAGGTCATTAGACCTCTCTGGTTCAGTGAGCTAGGTGGGACCTTTATCTCTTCTATTCTGTGGTTATGATTCATGTCAGGCAGTCATTTTATTAATGTGACAGGAATGGCTTCAGGCAAAAAATCAAAAGGATTTCATTTTCAGTATGGATCTATGCATCTGTTCGGCAGGCCCTAACTAGTAGATGATCAAAGCTCTATTTCTCTTCTGGCCCCACATGCATTGAGGACATTGCTGCTGTTCCTTAAGAGCTTGGGATCTGCCATCCGCTTGAAAAAATTGGCTTTACCTGATGTCCGTGTTTCCGGGCTCTGCTTTATTCCAATTTGAAAAGGCATTAGGCATTCCAACGGATTTGCTTATTATACCTCCCAGTTAACTTGTTATAGCTCCTAATTAACATTAACTGATAGTACCCAGGGTGATGAACATTAACTAGAGTGCCTTAATTACCAGAAACAAAACCACCCTTGGAAACGTGGATTACCCAGCAAGTCTGTGTTAGGGCATGGCTTGGGATAGCAGTGTAGGTTTCCTTTCTGGCTTTACAGCAAGTGCTTCCTCGAGTTTTGCAATTCTCTTGTCTTAGATGCTTTCCACCTCCGCCTCCCCCCACATTTTCCCATTGGAAATATTTTTTTGGAAAAAAAAAAAAAGGCTCTGAATTTTTCTAAGAAAAAATGGTAACTATCACTTGTTACTCACTAACCAAAAATTTTCTTTCAGAACGCTCCAGAATAATCAGTTGAAAACAGTACCCAGTGAAGCCATTCGAGGGCTGAGTGCTTTGCAGTCTTTGTAAGTAACTTCTTGATTTCTTGACTCACCAAGAGACTACTCTGGCTGTTGAAGGTGTAAAGAACTGGAATCCTAAGGAAAGAGGAGATTTATCCTTTCATCTGAGATAAAAACAGAGATAGCTAGTCGATGTTATCAAAATGCCCTTTGGTGAGGGAGAAGGAGGTGGTTCTGTTTACCTCCTCTCTTGTCCTAGAGGCTGAGAGAAAGCTACTGGGTATTCACTGCTGGGTGTACTTCCATGAACTTGTGCACAGCTGGTGATCAGCACCTCTTTGGAACCAGTTATATGTGTACAGAAGTTTTAGTGTCTTGTGCCTTGACTGTCAAGAAACAGCCACAAAGAGGTTTCTGTTTCGTGTAGTAATGATAATCAGAACAAATCGATTGTAATTCCTCAATGTGGTCAAGGGAACTTCTCGGAAAAAATGAAAAAGTATTCTTCAAAACAGGGAACTTCATTAGCTTCTACTAGAATAATGAATACAAATTTGCATTGCCTCACTTCATGTCCTAAATACCAAATACAATGGGACTCTGGGGCATAGTTTCTCTAAGTGTGGTACTTTGACCACGCTTTGCAACAGACTCACTAGGGGGAAATTGCTAAAATGCAGATCCCTAGGCTGTAACATAGAAGTAATGCTGGTTTTCTTTTTAAAGGTAGAATTCAGAAGTCTAATTTTAAATAGCAACCTCCCCAGAAGCACTCTGAATAAAAAATGTTAATAGTTATCACCCTTATGTGTGCTGGTATAAAATTGCATTTTAGTGACACAACGTATTTGTATATGAATTTGTCTCTTAGGTTTTGTATTATACTTTGAAATAACCGCAAATAGTAGGAAATACGCGCAAGTTAGAAAATGTACGGTGAAAACGATTGGGCTGCTTGTCCCATCAGTTTGCTAACATAAAGCCATTTTTAACTGCACCAAAGAGACATCCCTGGAAATTATAAATTATAGCTTACTATTTGATTTAAGGTTAGATATTCTAGTAGTTAATGAGCAATGAATGTGAAAATAAAAATATATGCTGTAAAGTTAAACTTTAAACTGTATCTAACCCATAAACAAGGAATATCCACGGTGTTGGCCATTTAATTCTTAGTTTAAATGGAAGTTTAATTTAAGGTGGTCTGTATTAAGTAGCTCCCTTCACTAAAATGGTAAGTTATGGAATATAAGGATTTGTTTTTCACCACAGCTAATTGAGTAGGTTCTAGGTAGACGCTTAAAATGAATCCATGGGAATGAGTTCCCTTATAGAAATGTTACTTGCTGACTTCACACACTCTCTCACCTCGGATGGATGTACACAGGGCAAGTCATCTAACCTCTCTTGGACCTGAATTCATCAGACATTTTAAATAGTTATATTTTCTTTTGCTTCTTAAGAATGTATTTTACTTCAAGACCTTCATATTGAATTATCATTTTGTAAGATCTAATAATCAAAATACTCAATTATTTTGTCTAGTTTAAAGGGTAATAAAGAGAAGACTAAAATCTTACTTTCAACTGTAGAACAGAAAAATTACCAAGAAAACATGCAAATATTCTCTCTATTTTGTGGTCAATAAGTACATTAAAGTACATGAGACATTTATTGGTAATGTAGATGATTTAAAGTGGTGTTTTTCACAGAAATCATAGGTTTCTCTTTCATGTTTTAAAAAAGCATACTGTGCTTATCATTCATGGAGCAAGTTGCTTAGTTTAAATTATCTCCAAAATTGGGATGAGTGTATGGAGTGGAGATAAACTTTTTTTTTAAAGGCATTGAGATGTTTTCATATATATCAGAAACACAAGGATCTGCTATGTGTCAGGCCTGTTTTCTTTAAGAAGGAAATGTTCATGCATTTGTTAGTAGAGTGGGTGCAGTGGTGAAGTTAGATACAGTTGAAGTTCTCTCATGGTGTAAAACAGTCTTATCAGCACTTGAGTCATTTTGAAAATCTGTTCTTCAGATCTGAATTACATGAAAGATTTCATTGTGGTTTTGAATGGTGCTTAAAAGAAGCAAAGTTCATTAGGGATTGAAATTGATCAGAAGTGGTTTGATGCAAGTGTATGTTTGATAGTGACTGTAAAATCTGAAAGCCAATTGTTGATACTAATAAAAAGGTAGCATAATTCCCTCCCATAAAACTAAAATGACTAAAGCATTACCTCAGCAGAATATTAAAATGACATGTCATAATTATCTCCTCTAGAAATTTTTTAACATCAGATTACATTTTTATTGAGTATTAAAATATCTCAAAGATTAAATTTCCTAGGTTTTTCTCAGTTTTAAAATATGTTTATAATACTTACATTATTGGTAAGTTAGAATAGAGAGAAAGGAGATCTTTTGATTATACAGGTGTTTATTGATAACAAAGACTTTCAGCAGTTAAATATCTGCATTTAATATTATTTTGTTACTGTAGTTTGTTTAGACAAGAAATTTAAAAATACATGAGTCTCAGTCAATTGTAAAATTGGCTTTTGAGAATAGAAAATAGAAACATGTTTTCCAGACAAAAATAACAAAGAAATTGAGCGAATAAATATGTTATTCACCGTTAAACAAGAAAGCTAAACAAAGCAATAGTTTATCTCTTACCACATGGAGTTTAAATAGAAAAATACCTTGAATAAACCTTCATATTCTTTCCATTTTGTGAGATAGCTGATGCTTTTCAGCATCTGCTTAAAGAATTACAGTATTTTCTTCATCTGTTAGTTAGGATGAATACTAATAGCATAGATCATTGCTGCAAAGCCACACTGAGACAGTGCTCTGAAGCACTGGTCACAGTATAAGTACAGACTCTTCACTTTTATGGGTGCCTCACCACACCTACATGTGAATTGAGGGATAAGGATTAACCATGTGAGTCACCACAAATTGTTTTTCTCGTTTAACCTCTTATTTAAGAGTTTCATTTTTCCATAGTTCTTTTTAATCTCTACTTATGTGTGACTTCACAATTTTTGGAAATTTTTAGTACAGAGGAAATTGTGTCCGTGCTTTTATTGTTGTATTAGGCTATTTTATTGTTGTACCTATGCTATTTTGTATAGAAGATAGTTTTATTACTGTCTGAGCTCAAAACTCATCTAGTTTTCTAGCAGTAAGTTAAGGCCATCTTTTTTCCTTGATGACACAGAATTCACAAGAGTTTAAAGGTTCTATACAGTACTGAATTTATATTAAAAAGGCACTGACAGCTTTCCTTATTATACTATTTTCTGAATCAGTAGAGGCATTGTAGGTATTTGGAGGTGCATTATATACTATTTTATTGAATAGGAATATATATCATCAATATGATAAAATAAACAATTTAAACTTTTCAACTGCAGTAACACTAAGGAACTTCAAATTGTAACGAAAATACAACCCAAACCCCTTACCTGGCCTATAGGGACATATGGAATGTGGACCCTGTTTGCATCTACAGCTGTATCTCCCTGGTCCCTCTACTCCCTTCCTCCTGTGTTTTAATCACTCATACCTTCGGGGAGTTGCTGGATCATACCAGCAACCATTCTGCTATTGGGTCTCTGCCTTGGCTCTTTCCTTTGCCTAAAACACTCCTTGCCCAGCTCCTACTTTGACTCATTCTTGCTTTTTCTTTAGGTCTCACTTTAAATGTCACCTTCTTAGAAATACTTTTCTTGAGTAACTACCCTCCTCCTCAGAGTCCATCAGTCTGTAACCTCAGTGCCCTGTTTATCTACTCCAGAGGTACTTCTTAAAGAACTTCGTTATCATTTTGTGACTTGTTTATTATGTTGTATATCACCTCTGCCACTGGAATGTCAGTCTCTTGAGGACAGGCCTCATGCCTGTTGTGTTCACTATCTTATCCTTTGTACTTAACAGGATGCTCAATTTAACTTTGTTGAGTGAACTGCAGGTAATTAAGTTACCCACAAGTATAATTTAGCTACATTAATTATTTATTTATATAATATGCTTAATTGTATGATTATGTGTTTAAATCTTTTTCTTCCTAAGAATGGAAAAGTTCCACAAGGGGGGTGTGTGTGTGTGTATGTGCGTGCACGCGTGCACACGTTTGAACACATTCCTATCTGCTCATTAAAGCAAATCTCCTAAACAGCTCTGTAGGCAGTACTTTGCCACTCTGTAGCCAATACTTTGCCAGTCTGTTATGTAAAAGTTACCTGTCTCAGGGCAAGTTCTAGAAAGTCCAAAAAATAAACAAGTCTAAAAATGTGTGTTTCTAGATAGATTCTTAAGGCAGCTGCTCAGTGTCCTAAGCTCTCCCTTTTCAAGTGTTCTTTCAGATATCTTGACTATTAGAAAGAAAGCTTTCATCAGATACTCACCAGGACCAACGGTCTTTAACCCATGCTATTCCGTCATTAGGAAGGGAAAATGCATCTGGGGCTGGGAGCAGTTAATTGGGACCAGGGGCCCAGAACTTGACTGTGGTGGAAACGGACAATTATGGCAGGAACTGAAGTTGGAACAGCATAAGGAAACAGGAGGCACAAAAACCACTCTAAAACTCAGAATTTCCTCAACTTGAAAGTTGTCAAACTATTTCTTTAAAAAGATGCTGTCATTTTGAATTTTTAACCAGTGTTTTTGTGTGTGTGTGTTCCGTAATTTTCACAAAGAGGTTCAAGGCTGTGAGGCATGAATATAAGTAATGAAGATGCATCAACAAGGGATTTGTGAGGAAAGCTGTGATTTGCCTGGCATAGTGTCCGTCATCATATTAATAGCAGATTGTCTTTGTGTTGAAAAGCAATTATTCCAACAATTACATCTCGTTGTGCCAACAATAATACGTAGGACTTAGTTTCCTCATTTTCAGATGGGGACTTAATTTTAAATATTAGTAATCCTATTAGTAAGGTGTTTTTAATTCCAAAATTTTTGGAAAAATTGAAGAAGCTTTCAAGCCACAGTAACATTGATTTGAGGAGCTGCTTGATTTTTCCAACAGATAATTTGACCTTTTCTTAATAACTGTTAATTTTAGCACACTGATTTTTCAAAAGCACTTAACTGCTAAGAGAAGAGGAAAAAGTTGCTTTGCCTGTACATGGCACTTACATTTTTAACTTGCCTAGAGGTAATAAGGATGATTGAAAATCTATTTAGATTCTTTATTGCTATACAAAAATTTTAAGTATTTTCTAATATTTCCCTTTGGTATAGAATCAGAGTAGCAACTAAATTTAATGTCTAATAGTAGTTTTAATGTAACATTGGAAGTAAAGTATCTTATTTGGTCAGCTTAGTTTCTTCTTTTTTTTGGTATATCTGATAATTATGCTCTAAAACATAATTTCAATAAGAACTTTGCAAGTTTTTTTTTTTTTTTTTTAATATATCTTTCTGCTATAAAGTTACTTCTTAGCCAAAGATAGTTGAAGAATATAGATTTGGATACATGCCATTCTTACGAAGGAAGAGAAAGAACTGACTTTCATATACAATACTGATAATGAAAAAGTTATTAGATTTTATGAGGACTTCCAGTAAAATTAAAGATGATCATTTTTATAAGTCCTTTTTGTTTTGAAAGCTTTGAGTTGTGAGACTTGAACTGACTCATTTCACTAGAATTTGTTACTGAACATGGTTGTTTCTGTTTCTGTTAGGCGTTTAGATGCCAACCATATTACCTCAGTCCCCGAGGACAGTTTTGAAGGACTTGTTCAGTTACGGCATCTGTGGCTGGATGACAACAGCTTGACAGAGGTGCCCGTGCGCCCCCTCAGCAATCTGCCCACCCTACAGGCGCTGACCCTGGCTCTCAACAAGATCTCAAGCATCCCTGACTTTGCATTTACCAACCTTTCAAGCCTGGTAGTTCTGTAAGTATCTAACCCTTTTAATTCCATATATTTGTGTTAATTGGGGTGCAAAAACTGGCTTCTTCTGACAGATTATTATCAAAGCACCTCGCTGAATATGCTCCTGAATAGTTAGTGCTTGAGGGAGCTGCTTTTGTACAAGATTAAACAGAATGGGAGAATTTAAAAAATTAATAGCTGGTGATAATTGTTCAATCTCCCTAAGATAAATGACCAGTTGTAATCATGAGAATAAATTAGATCATTCAGCACACATTCATACAGCTTTTACTTGTGTCCCAGCAGCGTATTCAATGTTAAAAGAAGGGAAATCATTTCAAGGTGGCCATAGAAGTTAGTCCCAGGGATGTTTCGTGTTTTCCACTTGTTCAGAGAGTATGGGATGCAGTGCTTTTTTAATCTTCCAAGACATAACAAAGTAGCACTTCTTTTAAAATCTGTTAGAGATCTCACTGGTGTAAACTACACTTCCTCCACACTGTTACCCTCATGTCCTCAGTAGGAGAGCTCATCAAATTTTGCTTCATATAATTAAGAGCTAATCAAAACTTTATTTTGATGAGTAAATATTAAATGATCTTCCATGTACATACCATATTTCCATTAGAGATACTTTCTCTTTCCATGGGGTATTCTATGTTTAGTGAGTCTGTGCAGTGTACATAGCAAGAGATAACTACCCAATGCCACTTGTTTTCTGTGGTCAACTGTTGATATGTTTAGCTACATCATTCCTTTACACACCAATTCAGACATATAAAACAATGATAATAGTTGCCAATGGGAAATTGAAAAGTCATTTTATGCTTTTTTTTCCTCCATAGGCATCTTCATAACAATAAAATTAAAAGCCTAAGTCAACACTGTTTTGATGGACTAGATAACCTGGAGACCTTGTAAGTATATTCATATTTTAGGCAACTGCATTGTGATATTGAAAGTGCAGTTTTGTACTTCATTACAGAAAAAGAAAAAAATATTGGCCTTGAGTTCAGCTTCTTATTCACTTTGATACTTGACTAAATTCTTGCTATCAAATAACCCAATTATGAATACTAATCTAAGTCCATGGCTAAAAATGGCAAAGGATGAATTGCATATTTCCCCCCAAAGAATACACATTCAAAACAGCTCAATCTACACATTCAAAACAGCTCAATCTACAAAGATGTATACCTTTCCAGAAATGTTGGTTTTTTTAAATGTATGACAGTTTTGGAAGTTAGAAATTTCTAAAATGAATTCTGGATAGTTTTGTTTTTTTCCATGACCTCAGTTGCCTTCTAATTGTTAACACTGGGTTTGAATACTATATCTGCTTTTACATGTAACAAACGAAGATTTTATATTTTGCTGTGATACTTTTGTTGTTGTTTCCACTAGCTAAAGTGTTTGAGACCTCTGGCTGTTTCAACTGTACATTGCACCACTATATAAGTAAAAGGCATTGTGCAGCTGTGTATAATTGAGAGAAGGATCTTTATTTTTGTTCTTTTAGCCTATATTAGTTGCCTTTATTGCCTTTATTCAAAGATAATGTAATGTTTGTTGTTGTGATGAGTAAATGATTCAGAGAAGGTCTCAATTACATGGGTGAGTAAAACCTGATTGGAATGCTCAGGGTTTGTAGTATTTTATTTGATGAATTTTCTGGTTAACTGTCAATTAATGAGAAGTCTCTTTTTTTTTTTT